TTTGATTAATATCTAGTACACCCTATAACAAAACCCTGAAACGCTAAACCTTTGCTATGCCCTAGGCCTAAAAATGCTGCTTAAGTTTACACACAAAGTGGACGAGGGGATGAACCCGAGACCCACGGCCGCAAACTCGAAGTTCAGGCTCTTGGTTTTTTGCACCGAAGCTCTTCGGTTTGTGTTTGTTGCTGTCGCTGGATAACTGAGCTATGGGCTCGGAAGTTTTACCTTCTTTTGAACATCGAGCTTTCGATAGGAGCACAGGAACGTACAGCAAAGATTTATGTCCTGAAGCTGTCAACCTCAAACACCTAAACTCCCCTTAAATCCAAAACCCTTCAAGAAGAACCCTGTGAACTTTGAGGTTCAAGTCGTCCATAGAGCGGGACCAGCAGGAATCATCGGGCCTCGTTCGTGTGGGACCGCGGCGAGGAGGCATCCGCCCGCCCAACTCATGTAAGAGCTTCAATAATTGGGAGTTTGCGAAAATTAGGCGTACCTTATTTTGTAGTCCGTGTTAATAAGGATCCTACTATGTAAGGCACTATATCAGGTATTAGGGTCCCCTATTTTCGGAAACTCCCAATTGAAGAAGCTTATTCCCTGGAGTTCCCCTAGTAGACTAGTTATCATGTAAAGTCACAGGTTAACATAAAATACCCCAAAGCCCCTATTCTGAATCAAGGCCCCTATGTTAGGCGATTTAGAACCCCAACAAGTGTAGGATGTAGGGTCTGGTTAAGAGCAGTCTGAGCTGTTGATTCCCAGCCTTGAGCCCTGTAGCCGAACCCCGAACCTCAAACCAGAAATAGGAGCCGCAGAACATGAAGGACACTACTAGAAACACTCCGAAAGATGATGAAGAGTATCAACATAGTTTCGTGCTGTCTGCTTCCACTTTCGGAGTTTAGGTCTTCTGAGGGCAAGGGTTTAGGATTTGGGGGTTTGAGATATTCAGGTTCGAGCAAAACTTTCCATGATTCCCTTGATGACCTTAGGCATGGCTTCCCCGTCGTTCATAAGGACCTTTAGGGGGATAGGGCGGGTAAGGGGCGCTTTGTGGCCAGCATAAGGACCTAATACGACCTATTTGAGAAAGTATAGTCCCCTTCCCCCCTCCCCCCTATCCCACTAACCCTAAACCCTAAAACCCTATCCCACTAATAAGGGTCCCTATGAGTGGTGGATTCCAAACGTCTAGAGGGAGCCCGGCAGGTTGATAGGCCGTCTGCCTCTAGGGGTTTAGGGGTTACCTTAAACTACCAAACCCTACTTTTTTGTAGGGTACTTATTATAAACCTTGATATGGAATTTATAGGGACCTGCAAACAAGTAGGTTTCGGTAGGTTAAGGTAGGGTTTAGGGTTTAGCTGTCCGTTTGTCTGTCTGTTTGTCTGCATATGCACATGCACGTGTGTGTGTGTATAAAGATGTATTTTATGTCATATGTACATGCATACTTGTAATGCCTCCGTTCGTTGGTACATGGATATTTTTCACTATCGGATCCTGTAATGGCTTTTTCCAGATGAGTCGGGCACTCGACTCGAGTCTGCAGCTAGCTTGGCCCACAAACCTCTGACCCTGAATACCAGGAGAAGAAGCGTCTTCCCAAACCCTGAGCTTTCCACGGGAAATTGAGAAAATATCGGACCGCAATGTAAACTCAGCGCAGTAGAAATTGTACCAAAGAGCACCCCTCAACAAAGAAAAATAAAACAAACGCCTTATGCCTTGAAGTCCGCACCCCATGCGGGCCGCAGGACGACCGACACCAAAGCGGGCGAGGGAGGAGGAGGCCAAAGAGCTGCAACAAAAGAGCTTCAATTCAGTATACTCTACCTTGACCTACCAAACCCTACGTTTTTGTATTATAGGGATCCTACTTTTTTGTAGGTTTTGGTAGGTTTACGGTACCCAGAGGCTCCATGGTAGTTACTTTTGTGGTACATGTTTAGAATCCTATAAGGTAATCTCAAAAAGGTACTACTATGGATCCTATGGGCATACTTTAGAGTTCAGGGTCTAGGGTTGAGGGTTTGGTGACGAAAGGGCTCTGTGCCGTCTAGGAGTCTAGGCCCTTTGCATGCGCTGAAGTCATTTCGTCTAGCACCTGATGCTGTCGGAGCCTGGCATGCTCCTGAAGGACCAAATGACCGTTAAAAGTAGGGGCCCTATACCCATATACTATGAATCCTTATGATGGCATATGAACCTTAAACCCTTTGAGGGTTCATTTCCTATACCCATATACTATGAATCCTTATGATGGCATATGAACCTTAAGCCCTTTTAGGGTTCATTTCCTATACCCATATACTATGAATCCCTATGATGGCATATGAACCTTAAACCCTTTTAGGTTTCATTTCTTATACCCATATACTATGAATCCCTATGATGGCATATGAACCTTAAACCCTTTTAGGTTTCATTTCTTATACCCATATACTATGAATCCCTATGATGGCATATGAACCTTAAACCCTTTTAGGGTTCATTTCCTATACCCATATACTATGAATCCCTATGATGGCATATGAACCTTAAGCCCTTTTAGGGTTCATTTCCTATACCCATATACTATGAATCCCTATGATGGCATATGAACCTTAAACCCTTTTAGGGTTCATTTCCTATACCCATATACTATGAATCCCTATGATGGCATATGAACCTTAAACCCTTTTAGGGTTCATTTCCTATACCCATATACTATGAATCCCTAACCCTTTTAGGGTTCATGTCGTCCTTAAGGCTGGTGTCAGTTTCATACGAATGTGCTCTCACAGGGGCCTGGGGCCAGGGAGCCGACACCCTAAACTTAGGGCGCTCCTCCGTGGTGAAGGAGCCCATGAAACTTAGGGGTACTTAGAAATATTTTTTCATTTTGGTTATTATAATCCCTAAGAAACAGCTAAAATTATGATTTTTGCCAGGGTTCTAAGTTCAGTATCGTAAATTCGTAATCACTCAGGCTTCTGACATCCTTAAGCGCCAAGCTTTGACATTGCCTAGACTCAAGATTTGGGCCTAAACCCCAGATCACGACCCTGCAATCGGGTTACTCTAAACCCTAAACCCTAAGCGGCCTTAAACCCCTAAACCCTAAATGCCACAGATCGATGCATCACAGCTTGGACTATGGGCCTGCCTTCCCGGGTCGTTTTGGGTCGCTGAAGCAGGAACACCCTTGAACCCTAATCATCCCTAAACCCAAAAGGGCGCATCATGTTCCATTTTCACTAGCGCTAGGGATTACTGGGTGGGATCTAAGGTGACAAGCTTAGAGTTTGGGTGCTTGGGGTGTGGGGATTATGTGTTGGGGTGACGGTTCCGGCTGATTCGCTTGAGCTTGAGAGTTTAGGCTTGCATAATGCTGACGGTGCAGTGTTCGGGTCTTCAGGTTTAGGGAGTCAGGAGTAGGGTCAACGGACGTTGAGTGCACAGCTTGTGGGGTCTACGGTTTGAGTTTTGCTATTTAGTCACAGCCCACTGTCACAGGCGTCAGCGGGGCCTCTCGATCCTATGCAGCTGCTGGAACAAGAAGCGGAAGAAAAGATCCGATGGCGAGAATACAGGGGTGGGAATGTTACCAATATAGTTATGCCCCTGAGAGTTCCTTGATGAATATACTCGCTCATACCCTGGAATAGAACCCCCAAACCCTCTTCTAGTACGGTTGATGATATAAATCCTGCATTACCTTAAGGGCCCTAAACTATGGGAATTATGGTATATTCCTTATTTAGGGTAATGCAGGATTTATATCATCAGCAGTAGTTCTCCAGGCCCTTACATTAACCCCATGGTCGAGCAGCGCAAGGTGTTGGAAGGCCTCCTGCAAATCAAACGGGGCACCCCACCCAATAGGTCCCAAAGTAGTTCCTTTTTGGGATTACCTTATAGGCCCGCTTCTATATATGAGCCCCAAAAAGGAGCTACTTTGGGGATGAGTATCGCTCACCTTGCTACTTACGACCCATAAGCCCTCAACCTTAACTTGGTCCGTGGAATCGGGGAAGTTCGGACGCAGAATGTCGGTCATGCATCACGTGAGGGTGTATGTATGTGCAGGTTTTGTTGTTGTTTGCTGTTGAGAGCTGTGACAGAGCTTCCGGTGAAGGGGAACTTTGGTGTCTTATTTAGGGCTCCACTACAGGATCTATGTTGCGGGCTCAGGGTTGGGGTTGGCGGCTTGCGGTTTAGGAGTCCGATACCGGGTCCCATATCTCGGGGTTTGGGGGTTGGTGGTAGCAGCACATGTTAGTGGGCCGTGTGAGCGTGGTATTCAAAGCCTTTAGAGCGTTCCCCGTAATACTGAGCCTCCTGCTGTGATGCTGCAGTCCAGAAGTATGGCCACTCACGTCCTCCAATCAGAGGGTCTTTAGTCTACGGGCCTGCAGGGACCCGGATTTCTCTCCTGTGTACAGCTCCTCTCGTCTTGTATGTCGCATCCAGGGCAGACACTGGACTGCCACTACACCCAGAGATCCCAATACCCCTTAATTAAGGAAAATACCTTAAATGATAGAGGCCTTAATACTGTGATTTAAGGTATATCCCTTAATTAAGGGGTATTGGGATCTCTGGGCAACTACTGCGACCAACAAAACGTCCCTTTAACTGAGGAAACACTTCAGGAAATGTCTCACATGGTCAGTTCTTCATACTCATGTTGGGGGGCATTCTCATGGAACCCTTAGGGTAAGTAAAGGCGGGGGCAGAGGGAAGATCTTGACGGAAGCAGCCCCTCAAGCCCAAAAGCCCCACACCCCAACTTCTAACATCTTCAGCAAGCATAAACCCTCGAAGGCTTCATCACGTAAAGCCTCGGGCCCTGAGGGCAAAGAGCCCAAACCTCTCAATCCCATGTAATTACACCCAAATTAAACCCTAAATCCTAAGCCTCAAATCCTAAATCCCCAAAACCCTGAACGTAAGCCCAATAAGCCCGAAATGCTAAACTTCATGAGCGCCCAGTACCCGTATAAAAGGAGCCGCAGCTGGAAACTGCCCAAAGTGGTCTGGACAACTTGCGTTTGGCGGCCTCGTCTGTGATTTATGGTTTAGGGGAGGGTTTATAGGGCAGCAGGAGTCGAGGACGTCAGTGCTCGATATGTCAGGATTCAAGGATCGCGGCAGTGTTTACGTGTTTCGGGTCTTACGGGGGTCCCACATCTTTTGACGGCGTAGACCCTAAACCCTAAACCGTTGAACCCTAAACCTACATACGTTGTATGTTGCCAACGAAGGGTTGAGCGAAGCTTCAGAAATCCCAACTGCTTTTGTACCCCACTCTCCAAAAATCACGGCGTTCTCTGGACTTGTGCGAAAGCCGACAGCAGACTCCTGGCCAGCAACAAGTGCGACACGTTTCCAAAAAAGTCTGCAAAGCCCTACTTAAAGGATCATGGGACTTAGTGACTGGGGTTATACATGAGGTAACTGTACCTATAAGCACTTATAAGCCCACTTAAGGTACTTATACCCTGACTTACTAAGTCCCATGCCCTATAGATCCCTTTAAGGAACCCTATTATAGAACCCTATAGTACCCTTATTAAAAGGAGGTACTTATACCCTGGCTTACTAAGTCGCATGATCCTCCAAGTAGACTCTGCGCTCCCCAACCCCGCAGTTCCAAATTTCTTATCACCAGGGTTTAGGGTTTAGGGCTTTAGGGTTTAGGGTTTAGGGCTTTAGGGTTTAGGGTTTAGGGCTTTAGGGTTTAGGGTTTAGGGCTTTAGGGTTTAGGGTTTAGGGTTTAGGGCTTAGGGCTTTAGGGTTTAGGGTTTAGGGTTTAGGGTTTTGGGTTTAGGGCTTAGGGTTTAGGGGGCCCTAACCCAGATGTCCAAGCCCTATAACCCCTAAACCCCACATTTCTAAAACCTTCAACCCCAAACCTTAATCAGGTAATCCGCCCGCCCAAACGGGCTTTCAAGACGCGGAGAGTGCAGATTGGAAAAGGGCGGTTAAAAAAAAGAGAAGCCCTAAACCCCAAACCCCAAATCCTAAACCCTGAACCCTTATAGTACCCCTATAGTAACCCTTTAAAGGAACCCTTATAGTACCTTTATAGTTCATCAGCCCAGGTGATGCGTGCCGGGGCGGGGGTCGACAACCTGGCCGTGCCTGCCCGGGCCCCAGCAAGGCCCTGGCGAAGCAAAGGAAGTTGCGGTTTAGGGCTTACAGGGTTTATAAGGTTTAGGGTTTATAGGGTTTAGGATTTATGGGGTTTGGGGTTCAGGGTTTATAGGGTTTAGGATTTATGGGGTTTGGGGTTCAGGGTTTATAGGGTTTAGGGTTCTAGGGCTTATAGGGTGTAGGGTATAGGCTTTAACTATAGTAGGGTTTTTAGTGTTAAAGGTTTAAGGTTTGGGGGTTAGGGTGTGCAGTGGCTTTCGGGTTTAAGGTGGATACTAGGGTAACCCTAAATCCTAAACCCTATAAATCCTAAACCCCAAATCCTAAATCCTAATCCCCTAGATCCCTAAACTGGGCTTGAAGGCTTAGGGGCTTCTGAGTTCGATGTTTGTTCTATGCCGGCCTTGGCCTTGTCTTCAGGTCGGGGGATGTTTCCCCGGCTGCTAAGCCCCGAAACCCTGAAACCCAGTGCCGGCATGAGTTCATTCAGTCAGATTTCTGACGCCGTGTCCTGAATTGTCGAGGAAGCATCATCTACTTCTTCTACTACTACCACTACTACTTTACTACTACTACTACTACTACTACTACTACTACTACTACTACTACTACTACTACTCCTCCTACTCCTACTCCTACTCCTACTCCTACTCCTACTCCTACTCCTACTACTACTACTACTGCTACTACTACTACTGCTGCTACTACTACTACTACTACTACTACCACGACTACTACTACGCATTGCGTCCACAAATTATCATGGTGAGCTTTTTTCAAATATCTCGGAATGCAGATTCGGGGCCCGGTAAACCCGAAACCCTAAGCCGTAAACCCCAAAACCCTCGAGTGAGTGCATGACCCTTCGTCCTAGGTACGACGCCAGGTTCCGGTCATTGTCATTCGAAGTCGGTGGTGTTGAGGTCTTACGGTTCAGGCTCTTGCCCTGTTGTCCTGTGATGGAATTGTTGGCATAGCTACCAGCTACCATCTTGTAGTATCCTTCCAAGGGGGGTATACAGCCTAGTGAACCCTAATTCTCCCTAGTACTCCCTAAGGTTCCCTTACAGTCCCCTAAGGATTCCTTATACCCTCCCCCCTTGAACCCCCCTCCCTTAAGGATCCTATAACCATCCCCAGAAGTTGACTCAAGAGCAGTGCATGTGCCAGGTGAAGCATCGGCCGTTCGCCTCACAGTCCTAAATCCTGACGGTCCTGACCCCTGAGTCGCCACGGTGGACGAGATCACAACCCTAAGGCTCCATGTACCCTTATAGTATATACTTAGTCCGTAAAGTGCCTATATAGTAACCCCTTTCAGGCTTAAGTACCTACTATAATGGTACATGTACAGCCCAACTTTAACGTGATTCCACGGCTCTTCATTAGAAGCTGCCCCCACCCTGTAATAGTGACTATAAGGATTATATTAGGGCCCTATTATATTCCTATTGTACCACTATTACAGGGTGGGGGCCTTTGGGCAAGGCTCCATGCAAAAGCTTTCGCCTGGGGCACCCAGAGACTCCAATATCCCTTGATTGATATTCTTTCCCAGAGAGCCCAATACCCCTTAATTAAGGAACATGCCTTAAATTATAAGGGGGTTCATACTATGATTTAGGCTATATTCCTTAATTAATTAAGGAGTATTGGGCTCTCTGGGTTAATTAAGGGATAATTGGAGTCTCTGGGAACCCACCAGATCTGTGGCTCAGGTGGTCGAAAGCAACTGACAGGCGGTCAAGGGCCCCTGCTCTTCCCTTCCAAGGGCAAAAGGAGGGACCCCTTTTTGGGGGGACCCCTACCCTATAATAGACCATATAATGGGTGTATAACAGTTATATAAGGTTCCTCCTTTTACCCTTTGACTTGAGAAAATCCTGTTCGATGGAAGGTGCTGGCCGAGCGTGGTGTGGTTGTTGCAAATGCGGCCGGGGCGAATGCCATTGCGGTCGCAGAGCCGGGACCTCTGGCTTCATAGTCATAGGGGTAGTTGTCAAAATTAAGGTCCCTTTTTGGGTCGCCTAAATAATAGGTGCCGTATTAAAACAGGGACCGCAAAAGGGACCATAATTTTGACTTGACAACCACCCATAGGGCTTTTAGGCTTTTGAGGTTTATAGGGTCTGGGATTATGGGTTTAGGGTTCAGGGAATTTAGGATTCGTGGTTCAGGATTTTGGGTTTTAAGGGTTGGGGTTTTCGGTTCAGGCAGTGTTAACCGGCAAGTGTGAACTCTGCGGAGTGGTCCGTATACGACGAGTAGTAGTAGCAGTAGCAGTAGCAGTCTTTCGCAGTGGCAGTGGTGGCAGTGGCAGTGGCAGTAGCAAGCACTAGCAGTAGTAGTGACGGCGGTGGTAGTAGTGGTAACTGTCAGCAGCAGTGGCAAATCACACAATCCTCAACCTTAATCCCTGAATCATAGAACCTTGCTATCCCGACACTCCAAATCTTAAAGCACTAAGCCACCCAAGCTGACATATTTGGTGTTGCCTTCGACATATGGGCTCTACAAGTCAAGTCTTCAGTAAGGATGCGTCTAAAAGGGTTCCATACGGGTTTCTTTTTCGTCCCCTAAACCTTGAACCCCTAAACCCTAAGCCCTAAACCCCTTCCTCTCCACCATGAGTCCTGAAAGTCTTCAGGAGGCCTTTCGGGCTTCCACAGGGGGCCCAAGTTTCGGCTCCTGAAACCACGAGTTTTGCCCCAAGTCTCCCAAACAGCCCCCGCAACAAAATAGTATCCTAGACTGAACCCAAAACCCCAGGGTCTACGAGATCCGATGGTTAACAGTATCATACCTCCGTCTTGGATGGATTTAAGTCTGGAATTAGCCCTATACACCCTCACCTTGCGCCGTGATTTGTAGGGGTTCAACTTGCCTTTTTCTGAGACATTCAGCTTGAATCCTATAAACCGTAAAAGACACAAATTCGAGGCTGACCCTTGCGCACCTGCTCAATTTAGACCGTCGGGTCTCGGACCAGGCGCGACGCAATCCTACTGTAGGGGCCTTAATAGTTAGAATAGGGTTTTGGGGTATATCATACTCTAACTATTATGAGGAACCCTAGCACGGGATGGGTAGTTACCTAGCCTTATCTTTTATTCTGCGTTGCCTTCAGGTTTGGGGGGGTCAATGTTTCGGGTGTTGAAGCCTCTGATTAGTTTTTGCGGTCTTGAGGTTCTGCGACTGAGAAGTGAGATGGTTTAGGGTTTAGGAGTTTAGGGAGTTTAGGGAGTTTAGGGAGTTTAGGGTTTAGGGTTTAGGGTTGAGAGTGCAGCTTCCGCATTACTCTTAGACATAAAAACCATCCTCGCAAACTTTGGGTTCAGGGCTTTGGTGTGTAGGGTTTCAGAATTGTGTGGGCTTGGGTATGTACAATATACGGTCCATAATCATTTGAGAGTTTCCGAAAACTGGGGGTCCTTGTACTTAGGATCCTCCTGTTTAGGGTACTATTAGGGTTCCCTGTGTTCGGAAACTCCCATTTAAGTGTATGGCTTAAGGCTTAAGGGTTGGGTACTGCCCCAACTGAATAATAACAGCTGAATATTGTTCAGAATGTAGCTGTATTCGTCCTGTAATAGCAGCCTATTATAGACTGTTACGTCTGGAAGGCAGTGCCCAGCTTAAGGGCTAGATTGGGCCGGCAAAGCCTTACAGTAAAAGCCAGAAAGTTGGAATATGATTATCCTAAACCCTTTATGGTAAATTATAGGGTATCCTACCCTGAAACCATATTCCAACTTTTTGGAGTTCCCTTTAAGCCCAAACCCGAACCTTAACCCGGACACGAGGGCCTTTGATGATCGGTCTCAAGTTTTCGCTGATGTTTGTGGCTACTACCTAAAGGCTCCATAGTAGTTCCTTTTTGGGGTTACCTTATAGGATTCTATATATGAACCCCAAAAAGGAACTACTATGGAGCCTCTGGGTATCCGGTATGTAACAATGTAACAACTACGCGCCGCGTAGGGAAGTCTTGAAGCCTTACATGAAACCTCTTTCTCGGTGGAGGAAGATTCCTAAGGCTAAGGGGTTTAACAGAGCACTTGAATATCGGGCTGCATTGTCTAGCACAAGACTTAACGCGCCCTGGGGGCCTATGATGCTTCAGGGCATCCTGCTCATTATTCCCTTCGGAGATCTATCGCATAGACTTTATGCTTCGGGGTGAGAGGTTTAGAGCTTGGTTCGGATTAGGGCACCAAGATTCGAACGGTGACCAGCTATGTTCACATCCAGCTTGTGTTTCCTTTTGGATTTTACGACATCTAAACACGAGACCCTGAGCCATACGCCCTAAACTCTGAACCCGCCCCGTGAACCCAATACCCTAAAAACGAAGCGCTCCTCCCTTGGCTTGGCCATTCCCTAGGTTCCTGAGTGTTACCCTCTTGCCCTTCTTTGAGGGTTTAGGGTTGAGGGTTTAAACCAAATAGCAGGAACCAACGGGTATCCTCATTATAAAGGGGCTACCCAGAGGCCCCATAGTAGTTCCTTTTTGGGATTACCTTACAGGATTCTATACATGAACCCCAAAAGGAACTACTTTAGGGCCTCTGGGTACTCAGGCAGCTAGCCAAGCCTGCCCAGCTTCTGGCCCCACCCAGGCCTCGCCTAAACTACACTATAGAATACCAGTGGGTTTAGGGTTTAGGGTTTCAAAACTGAAACAGGGACTGCATTGGACCCTACAGGCTAAAGAACATACCACTATGCTTGGAAGGTCTGAAGTTCAGGGGTTTGAAGGATGCAGACATATCATGTCTGCCTGAGTCTCGGAATTTTGTCTGGCTTTTCCTTCAACGCATGAGCCCGACTCCTTCGAACTGATCTCTTGCTGCTGCCATTTAAGCTGCGTCAGTGGCAGGACATGGTTGTGCCTGCCTTCACTGCAGCCATGGACCTGCCAGTGAGCTTTGCAAATGCTCCGAGTGGCAAGGACGAGAGTTCAAACAAAGTGAAACGCTGACGACCGACAGGACAAAGTGCTAGGTAGCCTTGTCATGTTGATTCTTGTTCTCAAAACCCTGCACTGAAAAGCCGAATCAGCAGCACCCCCCTTATCAAGCAGAACGCGGCAAGGACGAACCCAGCTTTTCAGGCTGGGCAGGGACTGACAGAGGGCCGGTTTAGGGCATGCAGTATCGGTCTTCGAGTATTGAAGGTTAAGGCCTTTGGGCTACAGGGTTTTCTTTTCGGGTACTGTAGGCACAGGGCTTAGAAAGTTGGGTTTCGGGTTTAGGATATGGGCTTTGCAGTTTAGGGTATGTATATATGTTTATATATTTATTGCACCTATACATATAAATACATACTACGTATTACATCTACTACATATATGCATATGTAAACACATAAATAAATATAGATATAAGTATATATATATATATATTTATTTATTTATTTATTCACATACTCATGTTTGAAACGCTGCGCGTCGTCCGCCTCGGCCCGGCTGTACGCGCATGCGGCGAGTGGCTACTATCTGCAGTAGGGTTAGAATTTCAGGTTTGAAACTCGCTTGGTACTGCCCGTGTCGTCGAAAACTCCACAAAACTCGCACCTGTCAGCGAGCGGAGGAGGGGCGGGAGGGAAGGGGGGGGGGAGGGGGGGGGAGGGGGGGTGCAGGGAAGTGAATTGGGTGGGACTGCCTACAGAAAGCCAAAATCCACTGGAGAAGGCGAAAATTCACCGCTTGAGCTTGGGGCTCATCGACACGTTTCCATTTTTTTTGGGGGGGGGAGGGGGGCGGTGGCCAGGATTTTGGGGGTGGGGTCAGTGGGAAAAGGATTAAGAGGTGGGGAATAGAGGAAATCCGAATAGGGACCTCTGACCGCTTCGGCCGGGGCCGAGGCGAATTATGCACAATTTTTTATACAGAAGAGAGCCTCATGAGTTCGGTGTATTACGCTGGCTCGATGCAGCGACAGGGAAATCTTCCCGGAGCCCCAGACTGGAATCTGTCAGGCTTTGTGCTATGCCTTGTGGTGGCTTCAAACCCTAAACTCATTATATCCTGGTGCACCACTAACCCTGGTCTGTTTAGTTTTACCCTGTTCTGTTTAGTTTTTAGTTTTGTTGGGCGCAGGGTCGGGTTTTGGGGTGTAAGGCCAGTGTCAGGTTTAGGGTTCAGGTTTGCGCTTTCCGGGTATAAAGCGGGTTTCGTGTTTTGACTGACGTGTTATCCATAGGTTCCATGGTACTGTATTTCATTTTTTGACATTACCTTATAGCTGTCTAAACATGAACCCCAACAAAGGAACCACTATGGCCACTATGGAGCCTCTAGGTAGTTCTTAAATCCGAACTTCCTAAAACCCTAAACCCTAGACCCTGGTTTTGATGGGGTAGGCAAAGAGGCCTTTCGATTAGTTGCAGTTTCTGGTGCGATCAGCACAGCACTTGGAGCTCCTTCCCTTTCGGGGTTTGGGTTTGGGCTTACAGGGGGGGGGGGGGGCGGCATGATTTGTGCATAAGGTTAGCACTATTTAACTGACGTGTCACAGAGCGTATATGCAGACGTGTTATACATGTAATATATACATATGTATATACAGATACACACACACATATTTATTCTCTTTATTTTTGTTCATTGAAATTCGCGTAACCATATGTGCATATATATATGTATATGTATATGTACGTGTATATGCATATGTAAATGTTACATGTATGCACATGCATCCACATATTAACACTAATATGAGCATGAACTTTCGGATTATCATTCTGTCGCATATCCATACAGCCCATACCTTTATGTATCTGTGCATATCTATGTCTATGTATGTATATGTATACATCCGCATCAAACTTGCCAGCATGATGATGGTGTCGATGGCACTTCATCACTGTGGATTATTTAGAAGTAGGGTGCCTGCAAAGGACTCCGTCGTTTAACAAATGAATAGCAGATAAGAAGATAGATTGATATTGTTTAGTTGTTGCCAACCATTCGGTTTTGCACTGCAAACTGTTTCAAAGCCAGACCATACCCACAGGATCAGGGGACGTTGAAAGGGGTCCTAATTGTATTCAAGAGGTACTACAACTCTCATTCACCGGGCATAAAGTTTGGGTCTATGATTTAAGGTTGTTCTCCTCCCAGCTGCTAAGCTAGCATCATCACTGAAGCTTCGCCCGAGACGACCCAGTGATTCGTCTCGCCTTTCGGTGTATGTCCCGGCCAAACTGGCAACAAGGAGCAGACAAGCCTTTGACAAAGAGCATTTTGCAAAATCGCCCCATGATCCGTCGACCTTCGTGCCAAGTATGAGCTTTAAATGGTTTTGCCATCCTTTTTTAAAGCCGGGCGTAAGGAGACTAGAGGAATACCGATGTATTGCAAGCACACCAGTGACCCGATTGATGTGTGCCTTCCTCGTTGGCACAACATACAAAACCTGGAAAAGCCAGTTATTGAGGCGCTGTACTATGCCAGCGATTGAAGCATCTGGTAGGACTTTGAAAAGCCTTGTAACGCTCGTGCGAGATCCGACAGGCCTGAGAAGTAATATAAGGGCCTTAATAGTTACCTATACTATTTGGGGGGTTCCGTAGTATACTTATAGTATAATGGGCCCCAAAACCCTAGTCTAACTATCAAGGTCCCTACATTAAGTCTCCAAGCTGGCCATAGCAGGTCAAGTGACGCGCTCCTCGATGCCAGCAAATGCTGCTCAGGGAACGTTTCCGGGCTTGAGTTGATTCGTTTATTGTTTTTTCCTAAAGCAAGAAGGGAAAGTCCGGCAAAGCAAGCGGCTATGAAGGTTTAAATACGACTGCATCTGAGGGATAATTCTGAGAGCCAGACGTGGATATGGAGAAGTCTACAGATGTTCGGTTTTAGATATAGAAACGAGTCTTTCGATACTGCTGGTACTACTACTACTACTACTACTACTACTACTACTACTACTACTACTACTACTACTACTACTACTACTACTACTACCAGTACTACTACTACTACTACTACTACTACTACTACTACTACTACTACTACTACTACTACTCCTGCTGCTGCTGCTGCTGCTGCTGCTGCTGCTGCTGCTGCTGCTACTGCTACTGCTACTGCTACTGCTACTGCTGCTGCTGCTACTACTACTACATCTTACTACTACGACTACATCTTATTTTATCTTACTACGACGACAACAACAACAACTAGTACTACTCCTACTGCTACTGCTACTGCTACTGCTACTGCTACTGCTACTGCTACTGCTACTGCTACTGCTACTGCTACTGCTACGGCGACGGCGACGGCGACGGCGACGGCTACGGCTACGGCTACGGCTACGGCTGCTGCTACTGCTACTACTGCTGCTGCTGCTGCTGCTGATTGCCACTACTACTACTACTACTACTACTACTACTACTACTACTACTACTACTTCTACTACTACTACTACTACTACTACTACTACTACTACTACTACTACTACTACTCTTACTACTCTCTCTCCAATCGCGAACACGGGTCCATGTCCTGCGTAGCCCTACTTCGGATCTGGATCTAGATCCGGCCGTCTTTCGACAGCATAGGAATAAAATCCGCATCCGAGCCGAAGCTCAGCAATGCGGCAATAACATTAACATTATCAGAACAACGCGATGCCGCCCCTAAAGGGCCATAAGCACATCGCGCTTGATGCATGCCCTGGCTTCTGCAGTTTAGCACTGGATATGCTGGTCAGCGGCTATACAGTTTTGCCTCAGTCAGTCAAGCCTCAGAACAGAAGAACGTGAGGAATCAGCTGGAGATGCATCGAGACGCATCAAGACTCAGAAGTCCTCCATAATGCATCTTTTCACCCATCCCCCGGAGTGAAGTCGCCATAATCGTCGTGAGCCGCTACTGCCGCTGCTCATGGTGAGAAGTCTTCGATGTCATCTCTAAAGTAGCAAGCGGACTCGAGAGGCATGAATCCTTGATCAAGCATCACACGCATGTCCTTAGCTTCAATGCGTTCGGCATTGCGAACATGAAAAGCGACCATACAATATCTTTGCGAGGTCCAAGGCATAGTGGCATGATTGTGCTTTGGCTGAAAGATCACTGGCACTTGTGTGCTGTGCGCGTGTCCCCTTGGCCCATCCACATGCAGCTGAAGATTACCGTGGCGGTGCTCCACCCACAGTTCTCCACCACCATATTCTGAAAATGGCAGCACAATGTTGCAAGTGGAATCATCATTGTGTATGTCGCAATGCATGTAGGACTGAACGTTTCTCAACAACGAAATGGTTGTGAATCTTTGGCTTGGATATATCTGGCGCACAATACCCGTAAGCATAGAGCACAACCACGGAGATTGAGCCGTCATCTTTCTTAGCCCATGCCAGGGTCCATGCGTGTAACCACCCACGGTGAACGTCTTCGCCGGCAGCACCCTCGGATCATCACAATCCTTCTGAAACTTTCGTTTGGGATCATCAGCAGGAAGTGAATCAAAGATTTGTTGGAGCTGTTCCCAAGTGACCTTATGGACACCGTATGCCGCGTAAGCAAGCTCTTCAACATGACCTTCCGGGGGGTGTGGCGGGCGAAACCTATCACTGAAGTAATAGCATCCTGGCACGAATCTGGTCCACGGATTGGGAGCAATGCAGGGCTGAGGATGTGGTGTGTCACACAACTCGTCACATAAGTCGATGCACTCCTCCTGGCTATTTCCACTCTCCAAGCGCCTTTTCCAAGAGGATCCCATGGAGCAAGAGAGACAGGATGAGTCACAGGATGAGGCAATCACTCATTATGCGCACAGCTACGGCCAGTATGACCTGCATGCAAAAGCGTGGTGCGGAAGCATACGCACCAGGATCATCTGTCAGAATGCACAAGTGCTGTCTGCCTCACGCATGACACCATGTGGCATCTCACTTTTTTTTTGAGTTGGCTCCCGGCTTCCTCCACACCCGGCGTGTACCTCAGCATTCACCCAAACTGTCTGCCCAAGTCTACCCAGCTCGCCTGTGTGGCTCTGGCGTTAACTGCGCCCGCGCCCTTCACGCGTTTTGCTACAGTCGCACAGTGTCCGCACGTCAGCTTCACAGTCACTGCACTGCATCTGCTTGGATACACTCAGGCCGCCTTTGGAGCCACGCGTCAGCGACAGCTCCATCTTATCGGCTCTTTGAAGCAAAATCAGACTCACAGCATTCATGCCGTCAGTCACCACAGAAGGACATTGCAGGCCTACTCATCCTAGCTGCTTCGAGATCCTCAGTGCAATAGCGCTGCGTTGCGGCCTTTCTGGACGTATCGATAAGCCAATCAGCTGCGTGCACGCGCAGCCTGACAATTCCGTGAGGTATCTATGTAGTCTGGCGGCCTCAGCGGTTCTGATTCCTGTCTGTAGGCAGAATGTCAGCACCGGTCCTGTCATCTTTTCTGTAAGAGGACGGGTAGGATGAAATCGCTGAAGTGCGTCTTGGTACGCAAGGAGGATCTGAATCGCTGCAACCGTGGCCACTTCCTTGCTGTAGGGAATGCCTTCGCGATCAACGTCCTTGATCAGACACTGCTTGGCGGAGTCCCATTTCAGGTAGGACCAGAGTGGGTCGTCATTGGTGCCCGGCTGCAACCATCCCATATCCCGGTCAGACTGTTTGTCTTTGCGCAGATCCTCCAATCTTGCACTGAGCTCCTTGATCACACATCCCATAAGCACTGCATGCATCGGCTGTTTGAGACTCTCTGGGTTGTTCTCCTTCTGCGTTCTCCACGCGCGCTGTGCATCAAAGAGCGGTGGAACAATGGCACACGGTACACCTGTGCGAAAGAAGAGCACGAAGGAAAACTCTGCACGGATGATGTTTAGCAGATCCTCATGTCTCAAGATGAGTCGTTGCAGATGTTGCAAGGCCTGCTGGATCTCGTAATAATTGGCCGGGCCTGCCTGGGACCATCCTTGCCATGAAGATTCTGCCGTACTCCAGTCCCCCTGTCTCTTATGGCCGCTGTGCAAGCGACCTTTGCCCTGTCCCCCCGAAGATCTGCCGTCACCCTTGTCATGATTATTCTTCTGCCACTTGGGAGGGTTCTCCTCGATGGTCGTCTTGTCAATGAGGGGAGCTTGCATGCCGTAAGGGAAATACTGACTGAAGAAGGTCATTTCCTCAGCCTCGATGCTATCCCCGGTCATTTTGCAGAGCCACCAGGTTGGCGCAGATCTGGGGGTACAGTTTAGCTAGTCTTGAACCCTGGCAACCCACAGAAGATAGACATTACTTCTGTGAGTATTCGTCAGAGTGCAGCTGCATGCAACAACTTCATCGTCTTGGTACCACCATGAGTCCCCGACACGAAGTAGTGCACGATAGTGGCCAGCGTGAACTGTCCTGCCAAGCTGCACCACCGCTGACACAACCCTGAATCGTTGCCAGATTGTGTTTATGCCCTCCGCATACACAGGCATTTGAACGTGGCCTGGGATGTTCACTGGAGCCTGGAGCTTCGCACCTTGTCGAAAGCGCATCAGCTGTATGAGGATAAGACCGTCTGTGTACGCGATGGCGTTGTGTTGGCCCTGTGTGTACCACGCAACTATGACATCCTGTAGATCTGTGCATGCTCAGGTAGAGGCATAAGAATGGGAAGAGATCCTTGATCACATAGCCGAGGACCCTCAGGAGTGGAGCAGCGTCGATCCCATAGCGTGTTGAATCGCCCCGCTGGGAGCAGCACGGCCAGAAGAAACTCTGCAGCGTCTTCTTGACGATCCTGAAAACCACATGATCGACACAACCTCTCAAATCGTGAAAGACTGCTGAGTGTCAGGGGCCGACCTTGATCGGCAGCATCTTTGCATTGCACATGTAGAAACTGCAAGGAGCTCAGGGGATGTTGCATAACCGTCACTGCGTGCAGAAGCGCAACAACCGTGGCATTCATGTAGCATAAGGTGTGCGGGTTATGCAAGATGAGCCTGCATGCCCATGCGGTCTCGTCGATCCTTTGATGTGCACCATGTACACCGTGGCCAGCCTGATCGTTACGTGCACAAAACATTTTGGGCACAATGCCCTGTCCTGAGCCGGGTCCCGAGCATGATGATGCATCTTGCTCTGCACCTGCGTGACCGGGAAGTTTGGGACGGTCAAGGGGGCTGAGTGAAGCCTGCAATCACGTGTCATTGGCCTTGTCCGGGAGCATCGTATTGCTACCATGTCCAAAGGCCTTGCCCAGCGGAGTTTTCGCCAAGCTGAAGGATTTATAGGCTGAAACGGTTTGCGATTTTCTGGGAGCACCGCTTTGGACCCGACCAACTGTTTGTCCAGCTTCTTGATGTAGCGTAGGTGCCGCACTGCATTGACCTGAAAGAGGGCGGGGCATTTGTCAGCATGTTGTCGAGAATCGTTCGCGGGGCTATAGCAGAACTGACATGGAGAGCTGAATACTGCAGTCATACTTTTGGCTGTTGACGACGTGTCCGAGTGCACCAAGCGCCATGCTTCCGGATGTTGTGGCTGCCAATGGATCTTCATGTGGGATGCCTGTTTCATGCGTTGGCCACAGAGTACACAACAATCACGCATATCACGCATCTGCTCTGCATAATCCGGAAGTTCATGAAGAGAGACAGTGAAAACAAGTTTGTCCGTGAATGCCTGAGGCTGCTGATGCACAATGTGGTCCGCGGGCGGCTTCGGTGGGTCAATAATCTCGAGCTGCTTGACCTCG